GTAGATGATATTTACCAAAGTTAGGATAAGTTATGGTCGATGCTTGTAAACACGCCATAGGACGCTTGTGTGCTGTTTTTTTTTTTTTTTTTTTTTAAAAATTTTTTTTTTTTTTTTTTTTTTTTTTTTTTCGAAAATGATGTCCGTCTTTTGCGTCTTTGGTCTTCCGTTTATGTAGCATACAGAGTAACAGCAAGAGCAACAGAGGTAAATTTGGTCAAAAACAGACCTGCAGATGCCTGTAAAGCCAACTGGGACGTATTTTCCTGCAGCGATACTGCACAGCTACATACATCTGCTGCCACCGCCGCCATCTTGATCTTGATGATTTTTAAAAATGTAGATCGTAACACTTTTTAATCCAAAAATATATTTATTTGTACACATGAAAGCAAATACAGGGCAGCAGCTGTGGTGTGTAAACATTAAATAAAAAGTAACAAAGTTGTTTTTCTTTAAGCTAAGTGAGAGGTGAGCTGTCTCTGCAGGGATGTTGGCTCAGTTCTTTCTGACCTGCTTCTTAAATACAGATCCTGACCACAGCAGCAGACACAAACCTGATGAATGTACTGTAGTAGCTGCTCACAGTTTTATTTAATATMACGGCTTTTGTACGGTTGGCTTTTTTTTTTTTTATGCACGAAACTACTAAAACTTCACTGAATCCTTTCAGCAACAGCAGCTCTATTTTTTGTGTTGCACTTTTTCACACTGTAGTCCTCATAAAGTGTTTTTTTAAAACAGCAYTCACTGTGACGAGAGCATATTTGAAACAAATGGGAGCATTTTACTGTAGTTTTCTAACCAAATGGCTGACATGTGTTCTGTGCTTTTTAATGCAAAGCGTTTCTAGGAATCTGCTTGAAAGAGGACAATGAAGTGTGTAAACGTTTCGTTGTGTTTGCTTGTATTGATTGATATTTTGACAGATGAGTACCAAAATCAAAATATTGGTGAGCTTTTTTTGTTCTGTTTGTTCGTGTTGTTAAATCAAAGGCTGTGGGTTTTTGACCAAATGGTGGATTTTCCAAAGAATAATCCAACGTCCAAAAGCTGACTGAGTGTGTTAACAAGCAGCACTCTCTAAAGCTACAAGAAATTTCTGTGTTTGTTCAGATCAACTGAGATGTGCACTGATTTAACATTTTTGCACTGATTTCTATGGTGAATGTACAATCAATGTATTGTCTTCTGACAAGTACTGTCTTTAAGTTTTTGACAAATTTGTAGTTTGAAGTGAAAACTGTAAGTGTGTGTTTGAAACACAATAAAACTGACAAACTGAAAATGGGTAGAAGTGTGTGCATTTTAAAAGTTAAAGTACTTTAAACTGAGTTCTTGCAGGGTCTTAAAAAGTCTAAAATTTGATAAAAATTTTAGAACTAAAAACAATCTTGAAAAYGCTCAGATTTTTTTCATCCAAGGTCTAAAATGTAATTTTGTCAAGTCTTAATTTTCTTTTTACTTCTGATCATTCCTGAGAAACGTTGGCTGCATAAACAGAGTAAAGTGCCRTAATCAGAGGTTGATGTGATCTGTCTTCACAGAGGTGCTAGGTTTGCTACCAGTATTGGTACCTGGTTAAGCTACAAAATCTCATTTGTCTGGCAGAAAACAAGCAGTACAAATAGAAAACTCACAGTCCACCTTTCTTACCTACTCAACTGGAGTCCCACAAGGGTCAATACTGGGACCAATCTTATTTAGCCCATATGTTAATGATTTACCTAATGTTTGCAAAACTTCAAAAATACAATTATATGCGGATGATACTGTAACGTATGTTCATGCAAAAACAAAAAATGAAGCTGCTGCAGTATTTTCTGATGCCATAAAACCAGTGTCTCACTGGCTCCAGGACACTTGTGATACGTATTTTAATGATACACCTTAAATAAAGAGAACCAGAGGCAAAGGGATAAATTTTCAAACAACTCTTTTGCAAAAGAAGTTGAGAGAACTCAGTTGTTCTGACCAAGTTCTGAAGCTCTTCAGAGCAGAGTGTCTTTTTATTAGCAAGCGTGGTGTGGCAAAGAAAGAAAAAAGCAGTAGGTTTCAAACTCGCGAACTCAAAAACTCCTATCTTTTCTCTGGGTCAAAATGCTCCTGGGAACATTCCATACTGTGACCCTTCTCCCAGAGATTTGTTGAAACTCAGAGATCAGCAGTAAATATGAAAAACAGGAACTTGGATTATTTTTAAAAAAGCATCTGAGTGAAACATGTAAGGCTGAAAATGCAAAAACTCTTAACAACTTGCCTACATCTTAACATAAAAAAACTGTTTTCATCTCGACTGCCAGCAGATAGCAAGCTACCATCTGTTAGTCAATGGAGAGACAAAACATCTGTTCTATAAAGTAGTAGTGATTTTATTAAAGAAAAGAAAATGAAAAGGAATCCCAGAGCCAGAAAAGAAAGCTGGCGTAGCAGTCTCTGGAGGGCCATAAGGGAAAACAAAGGCAAGCTTTCAAGAGGTGTCCACTTGTTGTCAGAGAGGCAGACACGCTTGCAGAAGAAGCCAAGGGAAAGGCTTGTTCCAAGATGGTTCAGCTGCTCCTAAGCCAAATACAACATAAAAAGAAAAGCCTGTCCAACTTAAAACTCTTGAAATTGAGATTGGTGCTAAAGGGGATGAGCTCAAGCTAATGTAGAGTTTAGTTGTATGTAGACAAATAGTGTTTGGGAAATTACTTGAGTTTAGAAAAGTGTTCTTTCTGTTTTTAATACTGAAATAATTTAATGCTCTATATTAAAATTAAATATTCTTTAATATCTAAATTGATAGCAATAAAAGGTTTGTGTTAAAATTTTTGGGACCATTTGAATGCTTCTATGTCTTCTTCTATGCTTCTGTGCCTGGTTGGTCTTAAATTTCATTCCAAACGGTCTTAAATTTAACTCATTGAAACCTACAAGAACCCTGTTTATTCATGCCATGGTTTTGCTTCAACTTGTTTGATACAAACTGTTTGCAACCTTTTCCCATAGCTTCATGATTTTGATAATTACGGTAAATTAYAAAAGAAAAAAGTTTCTGCAGGTCACTCTTTTAATAAAGCGTCCTGTTATTTCTGAGGAACTGGTCGAACTAGTAAGAAGTGAACACATCAGTTCATGGGAGTTCACATTTCCTGAGAACAGAAGTCAGATAAGTGTGAATGTGATGAGTCAACAGATGCCTGGGAGTCAAACTGCTGACTCACAAAGTGGAAATACTTTGTAACTAATTTACTCACAGTGATTACTAGTGGGGTCATGGGAGTTCTACATTTTTGCATGTCGTTATGGATCTGGAGAAGGATTATGTTCCTCGAGTCATTCTGAGGGACTATGGGATGCCTGGGTTGCTTTTGAAGGGCAGGAGTGATGTCCACATTCTTGTCATAAAGTACTTGTTCTTGGATTGGGTTGGATATGGCAGGCCATTTTAACATGAAACTGGATATCTGAAATTGATTTATGACTAGTCAGGTAGGGGAGTTTCAGTATCTGTGTGTATTGTTCATGAGTGATGGTAAGTAAGTCATTTTATTATCATTTGTGTCAGCCCATATGAGCTTACAAAACACATGACACATGGTAGAATGGTTTCAGTCAGTCGTGGTGAAGAAAGAAGAGGCAAAGCTCTTTATTTACTAGTCTGTATGTTCTAACCCTCACCTGGTCACAGTGTTTGGATCTTGACCTAAAGAATGAGAAACTGGTGACCAAAATTAATTTCCTTCATAGAGTGGCAGGGCTCAGCCTTAAATTCAAAGATAAGGTGAGGAGCTCCGTCATCTGGAAAAAAAATAAATAAAAGTTATGTTGGTCTAGACATCTGATTAGGATTCCTTCTGGATGCTTCCTCAACCTAAATTTTCACCTGTGGGACTAATAAAAGATTATCACATCAAAACTTGTCTTATCTTCACTTTAGAGGATTCCCGAGAACGTCCCACTGGGAAGAGGCCCCAAGGAACACCCAAAACTCACTGGATGGAATGTGTATTATTTCTGGTCCTGGACAGGCCTTGGGGTCTCCCATGAGGAGCTGGAGAGTGCTGCTGGGGGGAGGGATGTGTGGATTTGTCTCCTGAACCTGTTGTCTCTGCACAAYAGATAAGCAGCAGAAGATGGAGACCATCAGCGGTGGTTGTAACCCAGGAATGTGGCCARAACTTGAGGAATTCGGATAAAATATACATTTGCTATAAGAAAAATAAAGTGATTCTACTTGCTTAAAAAACAAGACCAAAACAAAGAGAGGAGAAGGGTGGATTGAGAAGGTGGATCTTAATATACTCAATGCTCTGCTGAGGGAGTCACTGGCAGTGCACCACCAGACTATTTTAAATGTGGTGGTCTTGTGRCTTTCTTAAAACACTTTTATTTGCCTGTGTACTTTTTTGTGTGTGTTTTTATACCTAGTTTTGGACATATGCAATAACCTTTTTTTTTTGTTAACAAAATATATTTTAACTCCTAATTACTATAAAACATTTGCTTAAATGTTTGTGAGGTTCCACTAATCCCAAATAGGGCATGGGAGCCCAAACCTTTTCCCAGAGTAGGCCAAACTGAAAACCTATCGAAGGGCTGCAGGCCAATAATTTGCTTGGGCAGCAAAGGCTCATGGGACATTTTAAAATTGATAAAGTCTGAGTATTTGTGGTCTTATGAAGTGTTTAAATCTACATGTGTGCTTAAATATTATGACAGGAGATTACAATAGTAATCAGGGCAACTATTGGTGGGCCAAATCAAAGGGCTTGGTGGGCCAATTTTTGCCCATGGGCCGCACTTTGGGCACCTCTAATCCGTCCGTCCGTCCGTTTTCTGTTGCTTATCCAGGATCGGGTCGCAGGGGCAGCAGCCTAAGCAGAGATACCCAGACTTCCCTCTCCCCAGCCACTTGGGCCAGCTCATCCGGTGGAATCCCAAGGCGTTCCCAGGCCAGCTGAGAAACATAGTCCCTCCAGCGTGTCCCGGGTCTTCCTCTGGTCCTCCATCCAGTGGGACGAGCCCGGAACACCTCACCAGGGAGGTGTCCAGGAAGCATCCTAACCAGATGCCCGGGCCACCTCAACTGGCTCCTCTCAACGTGGAGCGGCTCTACTCTGAGTCCCTCCCGGATGACTGAGCTTCTCACCCTATCTCTAAGGAAGAGCCCAGACACCCTGTGAAGGAAACTCCTTTCGGCTATTTGTATCCGTGATCTCGTTCTTTCAGTCACTACCCAAAGCTTGTGACCATAGATGAGGGTAGGAACGTTGACCGACCGGTAAACCGAGAGCTTTGCCTTCTGGCTCAGCTCTTGCTTCACCATGACAGACCAGTACAGCGCCCACATCACTGCAGACGCAGCACCAATCTGTCTGTCGATCTCCCACTCCATTCTTCCCTCGTTCGTGAACAAGACCCCGAGATACTTAAACACTTCCACTTGGGGCAGGACCTCCTCCCCGACCAGGAGGCGGAACTCTACATTTTTTCGGCTCAAGACTATGGTTTCGGATTTGGAGGCACTGACCCTCATACCGGCCACTTCACACTCGGCTGTGATCCACTCCAGTGARAGCTGGAGATCATGATCTGATGAAGCCAATAGGACCACACCATCCGCAAAAAGCAGAGATGTGATCCTAAGGTCACCAAAACAGATCCACTCAACACCTTGGCTGCGTCTAGAAATTCTGTCCATAAAAGATATGAATAGAATAGGTGACAAAGGGCAACTTGGCGGAGTCCATCTCTCACYGGAAATGAGTCCGACTTACTACCGGCAATGCGGACAAAGCTCTGGCACCGGTCGTACAGGGACCTAACAGCTTATATCAATGGGCCTGGTACCCCAWACTCCCGCAGTACCCCCCACAGGAGTCATTGAGGGACACGGTCRAACGCCTTCTCCAAGTCCACAAAACACATGTAGACTGGTTGGGCAAACTCCCATGAACCCTCCAGAACCCTCCTGAGGGTATAGAGCTCGTCCGCTGTTCCATGACCAGGACAAMAACCACACTGCTTTTCCTGAATCCAAGATTCGACTATTTGACAGACCTTCCTCTCCAGAACCCCTGAATAGACCTTACCAGGGAGGCTCAGAAATTTGATCCCCCTATAGTTGGAACACACTCTGCAGTCCCTCTTTTTAAATAGGGGGACCACCACCCCGGTCTGCCAATTCAGGGGAACTGCCCCTGATGTCCACGCGATGTTGTAGAGTCGCATCAACCAACGCAGCCCCACAACATCCAGAGCCTTAAGAAACTCCGGGCGAATCTCATCCACCCCCGGCACCCTGCCACCGAGGAGCTTTTTAACCACCTCAGTGACCTCGGCACCAGAGGTTGGAGAGTCCGACCCAGGGTCCTCAGGCTCTGATTCCTCATGGGAAGTCATGTCGGTATGATTGAGGWGGTCTTCGAAGTATTCCGCCCACCGACCCACAACGTCCCKAGTTAAGGTCAGCAGCGCACSATCCCCACCATAAATAGTGTAGGTGGCGAACCGCTTYCCCCCCCTGAGATGCCGGATGGTGGACCAGAATTGCCTCAAAGCTGCAAGGAAGTCTTTTTCAATGGCCTCTCCGAACTCCTCCCATGCCCAGGTTTTTGCCTCAGCGACCACCCGAGCCACAATCCACTTGGACTGCTGATATCTATCGGCTGCTTCYGGAGTCCCACAGGCCAAAAAGACCCRATAGAACTCCTTCAGCCTGACAGCATCCCTCACCGCCGATGTCCACCAGAGGGTTCGAGGGTTGCCGTCATAACAGGCACCGACAACTTACGGCCACAGCTCAGGTAAGCCGCCTCGACAATGGAGGTACGGAACGTGGCCCACTCGGACTCAATGTCCCCCACCTCCCMCGGAACATGTTCAAAATTTCCCCAGAGGTGTGAGTTGAAGGTTCGTCTGATGGGGAGACTCTGACAGATGTTCCCAGCAGACCCTCACTATATGTTTGGGTCTGCCAGGTCTGATCAGCATCTTCCCTCACCAACAGAGCCAACTCACCACCAGGTAGTGGTCAGTTGACAGCTCCGCCCCTCTCTTCACCCGAGTGTCCAAAATATATGGCCGCAGATCAGATGAAATGACAACGAAGTCGATCATTGAACTGCGGCCTAGGTCTCCTGGTGCCAAGAGCACATATGAACACCCTTATGCTTGACCATGTTGTTTGTTATGGACAATCCATGAGGAGCACAGAAGTCCAACCACAAAACACAGCTCAGGTTCAGATCGGGGGTGCTGTTCCTCCCAACCATGCCTCTCCAGGTCTGACTGTCATTACAGGTGCTGGTCATAAAATTAGAATATCATGAAAAAGTAGATTTATTTCAGTA